TTAGTATCATGAGATTATTTTCATGCCAACTGAGCACATTTACCCCAAATTTTCAATACTGTGTAATGAATCTGGAAGTTTTGATTTTGTTTTTTTTTTGTAATTATCATTATTCTCACAGGTGATTCTTGTTTCAGCATTATTTCAATTTTTAATAAATGAATGGATAAATAAGTCAATACAATTCTATTAATAAAGAATTATAGTCATACGGTGATTTTTTTTTTAAATCAGCAAAAAAAAAACGCACCACACTTTGCACACCCTAAACAATCACTGGTGCATTAGATGAAATTACAATATAAAGTATTAAAATATCAATCCTGCACACTACTCAAGTTTGCATCATCACAAAAATATCATAATGAGCAATGTTTCGGTCAATCAACCTTCCTCTCCCTTCAATTGACCAAAATGTTGTTCATTCAAATATTATGCAAACTTGAGTCGTGTGCAGGATTTATATTTCTCTGTTTTATATTAAAGTAAAACTAATACTGTAGAACTAATACTGTAGTTATTAAAGAGTCAATATCAAACATTAAAATAAGATCTTGTCAGATAACATGTTTATCTGTCATGAAAACATCATGTCTTCTTCTCTCTTGTGATTGTGGGTGGTGTTGTCGGCAGGTTTGTTGTTCTTCACCTGTGATGTTTCCCGCTCCTCCTGTGGGCACCAGCACCTCCAGCACGGGCAGAGCGTCTCCTTTGGCCTGCGGCATGCTCAGCTGCAGGTATGCGAACAGGAAATGTGCCAGCTGGACCAGGATCCTGGACCAGTTCACAGAGTTCAGACTCATGAGACCATGACGTAGCACCAGGTCTGGATCCGCAAACAGTTTCCTCAGTGGAACATCGATGTCGTCAGACGTCCCATCAGCTGCAGTTACAAACACACAGAGAGGGTCACGGCACACTGCTGACATCTGACTGAAACAATAGATTTTATAAACAAATGTAACGAACTATATGTATACATTAATGTTAAAGAAGGCTCTTCTGCTCACCAAGGCTGCATTTATTTGATCAAAAATACAGTAAAAATTGTAAAATATTATTACAATTAAAAATAACTCTTTTCCATGTGAATATATTTTAAAATGTAATTTATTCCTGTGATCAAAGCTGAATTTTCAGCATCATTAATCCAGTCTTCAGTGTCACATGATCCTTCAGAAATCATTCTAATATGCTGATTTGTTGCACAACAAACATTTCTAGGTTATTATCAATGTTGTTCAAACAGTTGTGCTGCCGAATATTTTTGTGGAAACCGTGATACATTTTATTTATCAGGATTCTTTGATGAATAGAAAGTTTAAGTTTGGTTGAAATAGAAATCTGGTAACATTATAAACAGTGTTGGGGAAAGTTACTTTTAAAAGTAATGCATTACAATATTGCGTTACTCCATAAAAAAAGAA